GTCACCCACTTACTTTTTTGTCTTTTATTTAAAAAAAATCAATACATTTTATAAAATCATTGTTGGAAAAATGTAACTTGAGAATAATTAATTTTAAGTTAAAAAGTATGCTTCTAATCTGTTTATTGAGCAATTCAGATAATATGTTTAATACCCTGTTATATACAATATACTCACATACATAACTAGTGCCCTAGACTTTATCATTTAATATTTATTTTATTTTTGTAAATACTTTTATCATTGGAAAATTTACTGCCAATTTCATATTTAACTAATATGTGTTTGCCCAAAAAGTTATGTGTCAGATAAAAAAGAAAAAAAAATTATTTTCCAATTGTTAAAATTTTAGTAAAAACGATAATTTTTGTAAACAACTAATATAATATTTTTTTTTTTTTTAATGTGTATATTCTATTGAATTTGTTTGATATTTTGGTGAATTAAATTTTGATTTTAAAATGTTTCAGGTTGCCTGCGCAATTAATAAAAATTCAAAAGATGTAGTAAATGATTTCATAGCTAATCTGAAAATAGGAAAAGTAAATTCTATGAACGATATTGGTTTTCACATGCCTCTTAATATTCTTCAAAAATATTTTGGAACAAATCCATTAATAGATTTTAAAATACCAAGTCACGAAATAACAACTTCTCAATTAAATCCACAACATTTAATAATACATTTAAATAAACATGAGTTTATTAACGACATACTTAAAAATAATATTGATATAACTTGTCAACATTGTATACAGAATTCTAAACCTTCCATCATTGATTTTAGGTAATTGGTAAGTTTAATATAAATAATATAATTACTTTAAAGTCACTGATCATTATATAAAATTAACACATATTTCACTCATTACAGTTCTCCAAACATTGCAAAGCCATTTCATGTTGGTCATTTACGTTCAACTATTATTGGAAACTTTATTTCTAACTTAAAAAATTTTATCAATGGCCGTGTTATACGCATTACCTACTTGGGTGACTGGGGACCTCAGTTTGGTTATACCCTACTAGGATTAGAACAAATGAAACCAGATATGTCTAATAACGATATGACAATAGAATCTTTACACAATGCGTACATATTAGCCAATCAAATGGCAAAAAATGACTCGAGCATTCATAATAAAGCTAAATCTATATTTAAAGATTTAGAGTGTGGTAATTCTACCTCTGATATTATTAACTTATGGAATGAATTTAGATCAATCACTATTAATGAATTAGAAGTTATTTATAAGAGATTGGGAATAGTCTTTGATGAATATGAGTGGGAATCAAAATATTCAAAAGAAAAAATTCAAGATGTTCTAGATCAGCTCAATAAAATTGGCTTATTAAAACGTAAAGAAGATGGATCTACTGTTGTGCTTTCTAATAATCAAGAAATCACAATTTTAAAAAACGATAACTCTACATTATACCTCACACGAGATATTGCTGCAGCACTTAAACGCCACAAATGTTATGGTGCTGAAGATTTATTTTATGTTGCTGATAATACTCAAGGCAAACATTTTTACTTACTAAAATCCATAATTGCACAAATTAATTCAAATATAAATGTGCATCATATTCCATTTGGAAGGATACATGGTATGAGCTCAAGAAAAGGCGAGGGAATATTGTTAAATCAACTTCTAAATCAGGCAAAATTCACTATGAACTTGAAAAGAAAATATTCTGAAAGTTGGTATAAATATAATATGGTAATAATTAGAGTTAAAAACTAATTGCTCATATATGTATACAAATATATGTTTTTCTGCAATGGTTATAAAATATCAATTCATATTTTGAAATTTTTTAATTACAAAGATTAGGTAACATACTTGTGCATATTTTAGTATATTTTACAAAAACTMATAATTTACAACAAATTTAAACATTTTAACAGTATGATTATGATATTAGGATATATTCTCAAGTATTATAATCATAGACATGTTCATACTTTGGTAGCTGAGGGGGCACAACAAATTTTTAAATTGTGAGACCTATTTTTAATTTTTTTTTTTTTAGAAATTTTTAGACATCTTTATGTTACAAAATTCACAATTATAGGAATATTTTTTAATTATGATCAAAAAGTATAACCATTGTCAAAACAATAAAAATACCTTTAAAACTAAATTAAAAACAGATACATAATATTTATAATATTAACTAAACATGTTATATAGTTATAGAGAATTAATTAACATAATATTATATGATACTATAATCACTAATTAATAAATTCTCAAATATAAATAAAATGTTCTATTAATTGTGTGCAGCTATAAATCAAGGTACAAAAATTGCAATCAATCAAATCTATAGGTACTGCAGGGGACACACAACATTTTGTTTGAAGCACAGTCTAGGGGGGGGGAGGGCAGCAGTGGCCACTTGCCCCTCCCATAAACACGCCTATGATTATAATTTCTTCCTGTTTTTGCCCCCTATAATTTTAGCAAAATATTATTAAGCATATTATAATATTTAAAATAAGTACATATTGCAATAAGTCTTGAATCCTATTAATAATTGTTATTAATGTTATTATTATCACCCCTTATTTATTTTAATTATTTTCAGCTACCAAAAGTAATTCAATGGATGATAATGAAGTCGCAGATATATTAGGAATATCTGCTATAATAATAAATGATCTAAAACAAAAACGAAAAAAAGATTACAATTTTTCTTGGGAGTCAGCATTACAGGTAYCATGTTTAAWTTTTTTTTAATTCAACAAACCTAGTTTGGTTTAAGATATTAATTATTTTGAGATTCTGAACGAAGTGATGAATGTATTGATTTTACAATGATGTGTTTTTTTTT